ACCTAGCAGTGTACTCTGGGGAGGCAAGTGAGTAAACACCAGGGCCCATATATTATCGGGGTTCTCTAAAGGAACAGAATTTCTAGAATGAATAAATACATGTATAGGTATATATGTTACATTATATTTTTACATTTATTCCTTTTATTGGAAATAGATTCCCTTCTCACAGAATATATCCTGATTCAGTTTCCCCTCCCTCCACTCCTTGCAGCTCCCCCAAACTCCCCTCCCATCCAGACCCACCTCTTAAACAGGCTTCTATGGGATAACAGTAAAACAAAATAAAGTATAATAAGACAAAACAAAACCAATACATCAGAATTGAATAAAACAGACAAATAGAAGGGAAAGAGTTCAAGAGAAGGCATAAGAAACAGATCCATTCAGGGATCCCACAAAAATACTAAACTGGAAGCCACAATTCAGAGACAGGACCCGTAGGGCAAAAAGAGAGAAGAAAACACATAAATAAAACAAAATAAAATTAAAAAATGCAGAAAAATCCCTGGCATGAAACTGAGAGACAAGGAACCTCCAAAGATGCCATCAAGTTCATTTGCTGTTGGCCATATACTGCTGGACATGAAGTCTAGTCTTACAAGTAGTTTGTTTTCCCAGTGAGACTTCCTTGGAGGAAACTAAAATTTCATTTTCAAGTAGTCATCAACTGGAGATAGTTACGAGGTTAGGAATGGGGGGCATGCATCCACTTCTTTCAGCTCTAAAACTCCAACTGGTACAGACCCATTCAGACCTTTTGCATGCCCAGTCTCTGTGAGTTCATATGTGCACTATCATGTTGATGGAGAGGTCCTTGTCTTCTTGGTGTCTTACAAATCCTCCAGCTCTTACACTCTGTACTCCTCTTCTGTGGGGTTCCCACAGCTTCGGGGAGGGATATGATGGAGACATCCCATTTAGGACTGAGCATTCCATGCTTGTTTACTCTTTAAATAATGTCTGGCTTTGGGTCTCTATTATTTGTTCACATCTGCTGCAGGATGAAACTTCTCTGATGATGGCTGAGCAGAGCACTGATCTTCCCCCCTGGCTGGAGTCTACATTATTGTGTGTATGTGCATAATCAAGAGGATATTTATTACACTGGTTTATAGGATGTGCTCTGATGCTTCAACAATGGCTGTCTTGCAATGGAGAGGCCGAAAATATGGTTGTTGTTCAGTTCTTGAGTCTGGATGTCTCAGCAGTTCAAACCTGATCCTAAAGCTACTGACCTCAATCTATGTTGGAATACTGAAGATGCTGTATTTAATACTGGTGGCAGTAACAGGATAGATGCACTTGCAGGTAAGAGTGGGGAAAATGAACAAAAAGTGAAGATTTCTTCTTCTATGTCCCTTTATAGGGGTTGCCACCAGCAGGGGCCCCAAATTTAGGATGGATTTTCATGCTTCAGATAATCTAAGAAAAACCCTCACATTCTGGGTGGTGGTGGTGCATGCCTTTAATCCCAGCATTAGGGAGGCAGAGGCAGACAGAGAGAGAGAGAGAGAGAGAGAGAGAGAGAGAGAGAGATTATTGAAGCTACTCTGAAAAGAAAAAAGGAGGAAATAGATATAAGATTAAAAGGTAGATTATTGAATCTACTTTTAAAAAGTAACTACTAGTTTTTATGTATTTTTCATTGGATTGAATTTTTGTATATTGTATACAAATACTGTATATTCATACAAATTTGAAATTAATTGGTTAAACATACTGTACATATATTTCTAAAATTGTTCAAGGTATTATACCTATACAGCTCATTTAACAATGTAATGCAAATTTCTAGTCCTTGAAAGTTATTATTACCAATTATATAAGATAATAAGGAAATGTAGATTAATAATTAGTCACCTATTATAATAGGAGTTGTAGTCATATTAGGTAATGTCTTCAAGGTCAGACAGAGATTATATTTTAGATAGACAGGTCATCTTCAAACACTTCAGAGATCTACAGAATATGGCATTTAAGATGTTTTAATAACATAGGTTCTTTTTTTAATGACAACAAGGCATGTTTGCTCCTGGAAGCACCAATCTATTTCAGAAAAGATGATATGCATCAAAGAAACTCCACATGGAGTTTCTTTCTTTCCTTTTTTTTTTTTTTTTTTTTTTTTTAAGTCAGGGTTTTTCTGTGTTGTTTTGGGGGCTTTTCTGGCACCC